GGGACAGAAAGAAGGAGAATCTATTTAATGCCATTTTGATTTTTTTCTCTTTTTTTCTGAAGGCTGTGCTTTACTCTGTGATCACGGTGAACACTGCTGGTATACATGGACACTGAAATAAATGCTGAACAATGCACTCAAGCAAAACCACTTCTTACAAAGACAACTAGTGTGTTCACATCATAGGTTCCCATCCTCTTCCTTGGTACAGGGAGCCCTCCATTCCCACAGGCAGTCAGTGTGAAGGGAGATTCCCACTGCACAGCAGCCTGGGACTTCAGGAATAGTGCAGCTTACAGGCACTTGCTAGCAACACATCTCGGGTCCTCTGTGTGAAACTGGCAGAGCTGAGTGCATTTTTAAACCAAACCCAGCAGCTCTGACGCAGCCTGGCACAGATCAAACTGCTACGCCTTTGGCGTGTTAAGGCCATCCCAGAGGTGACTGGGCAGTCCTACCTTTTCATCTTCATAAAGAGCTGGTCTCTGGCATCCATAGAATCAGCCCTTCGAAGCACATGGTTCAGGGCGGCAGGAGACGGAGGAACTCGGGCACCCCGCTAACTCTCCCTTTTCTTTAGGGTCTTTCGCCCCTTCTTGCTCTCGTCCAAAACTCGTCCTCTGCTGCAGGGTCCTCGGAGCGCTGGGAGTCTGGGGGGGGAGAAGAGCGGTGTGAGCATGTTTCTGCCAGGACCCTCCCACAGCTCAGGAAAAATCCTCAGGGCACACGCATTGGAATCTCCTACCGGATAACACTGACCCGCACGAGCACGCCCCCCTCCCTCCTGCACACAGCCCTGTTTAAAAGAGCCACCCTTATCCTGGAACAAGGGGGTCATCGGACACCGCAAAACACGAGACTCAAGATCATCTCTGATACACGTCTCTGACAGGCAGCACGGAGAAGGTCCGAACCCGAGACAACGTCTTCACAACGACAGTAACTGCAAAGACACGGGCATTAATGAAGACTAGCAAAGCAGTCCTCACAAGTCAAATTCACTTTTCTAATGAACAAATAACAATAATTCCATACACTTATGTAGCGCTTTTCTGGACACTCCACTCAAAGCGCTTTACAGGTAATGGGGAATCCCACTATTACTACCAATGTGCAGCCCCACCTGGATGATGTGACGGCAGCCATAGTGCGCCAGTACTCTCACAACACACCAGCTATCAGT